CTGAGACTGATATTGTTGGACAGAGTATTTTAAGAGGATGGTAGACATGATATCAGCAATACTTCCAGTCAGTACTCCGGCAGCAGCATTTTCACACCTTGGAAAGTCTTTAGAGTCTGGCCTGGAATGGATAGCTGGTCACAAATATCCTTCAGCAAAGTAACACACTCTGTCACATGGTTGCCCTCTTATGATGCTGCTGTCTTTTAATATATAATTATTCCTCTGCCGCTAGTTCGTTCCTCGCAGATTCTTCAGTCTCATCAGCCTCATCCTTCCATCAGTCCCAGTTAACGCCTCCAGCCCACTTCCAGTATCTGACTCCATATGATATTGTCCTGATGCTGTAAGGGTGATGCCCCATGATCACAAAATGACCCCTCTAGAGTGCCAAGGACCTCATATTATGTCTGTCATTAATGTTACATCACCCATTAAATCACCCAAAAAATATTTTTTTCCCTCATCAAACTTAGAAGAAGTGGCTTGATTTTGTTCTCAGGAGGGGACTTTGACAGAGTATTTCTCAAAAAAATACACAGTAAAAGTACTTCAATGTATTGTTAGTAGTAGGCTTACTAATTGAAAGTCAAACCGTATCAATTTCATTAAGAACTAATGGTAACATTTTATTTTTGGGTCATTCCAGAATTGGAGGACATTTCATGTCCCCCATATGAAAAATCTAATAATCCATGCCCAAAAAGCTAAGACATGCACTTGTTGTGTTAAATATACTTGTCTTGAGACAAGATGCATATAAAGTTGTAGAAAAAGTGGTTTCAAAATATTATTTAAAATATCAAATAGCTCTCGAACACCCCCTAAAATTGCCCTTTTCTCTTGTCCCAGCTTCTTGGTGACCAACTTGCATGTCAACTATAACATTTAAAATAGGGTTTTTATTTACTTTTTTGGTATTATTCTATTGATATATGTGTCTTGTAATGGTAAAATCAATTTGTTAAATCATAAACACATTTTAAATAACAGTAATTTTGCACAGAAGGTGTGTCCCTCAACATGCGCGCAACCCTGTTACCGAAACCTTTTTAGCTTGGCAGAGGAAGTGAAAAAACTGTTTGTCGCATGACACACTGGAAAAGACATCAGCAAGCCATGTGCTACTACCATGGGTAGACCAAAACTAAGTCCTCTCTTTTATTTGTAATATATTTCCAATCTTGTCACTCTTGAAGGAGTGTGGCACTCATACAAACGCAACCCTGTTACTCAAATTATGAGACAAAAACAAATTAATTTCAAATGTATCTTTCTTTTGTTAAATATATATAAATATAAATATAAAGTGTGTCCATTCCTTGACAATAGCATTACATTGTGCAGCTAGCATTAATTCCTGAGGTAAAAGCTAAAATTAGCATTGATTTTCAACCCTGTTACTTGCAACCCTGTTACTATAATTAGAGTAACAGGGTTAATTCTTCATTGGAAAATATACATTTGATGCCTTAGCTGGGCAAATCACTTTTTTTGATGGTTTATTATCTGTTTTTCCTAAATACATAACAAAAAATAATCAAATGAAAGGTTCATTTTTCAAAAATGTTGGTGTCTAAATTGTCCTCCAATTCTGGAATGACCCTTTTATCATTCATCAAAGATAGCAAAAAACATGCATTATGTACTTGGAGGGGACTCTGACAGAGGATTACTCACAAAGTACACAGTAAAGTACTTCCTTTTATTTCTGGTAGCAGTCAACTAGTACCGAGTCCAACAGTGTCAGTTTTATTCAGAACGTCTGGTAAAAAATATTTGTATCACTCATTGAATATAGCAGGAAAGAAAATGAAGAGCAGCTGATTGACCGAGTGCAGAATCGCTGTATAGTTTAAATCTCCTTAGTTACAATGTTGTCTATTTTAGACAAAGGCTTATTATATTTACAGCCCTAAGAACATTCATTTTCTGGGCTCAATATGTGTCTTGGCTGTTTTCGTTGTGATCGCTAAATTCAGATGCTGGATCGCTAGAAACACCGCTGTCATGATCAGGCTGGCAAGAGCTGTTCCATGCTCTGCTCAACCTCCCGCCTTCCCAATGGACTCAGTAGTGCCCCCTGCTGCCGTGGAGCATGTGTGAGTGAGCATGTGTGAGTGTGTATCATGGATGTATAATAAGAACTGGATACAGCGTGGGAGGCGGGGCCTCATTCATTCCTATGAGAGTTGCTCATTCGCGCATGATGATAAAATGGCCCAACTTTTGAGAGAGCGAAACGTCACAGATTACCCGGCATGCCTGAGAAGTACCCGTATGTGCGCTCATAGCGCATGCGCAACTTTAACCATGCCCCCCAAAATGCTCGTTCACATCAAGCACGTCAATTTGCGTACACGTAACAGCACCGCACGTTCATGACAGCATGGTAATGTTTGTTATGATAGATTTGATATTAACGAGGCGGCAGTTAGCAGCTAGCGGTTAGCTAGTAATTATGCTAATTTACACATCAATCGTTATGTACTTTTATATTACGCTGTAACAGGATCTAGTGATATCCAAGCAACAGAGCTTCATTTAGCATGAAAGAATTATTGCACTGTATATATATATATATATATATATATATATACACACAGTGCAATAAGCTTCTTAGTGCAATAAGAAGCTACAGGGACGTTAATCTACGTCGGTAATATTAACTTTATTTAATACAACATTTACGGTACAAGATTTAATCATACAGCCCATGTAGTATAATATGTTATAAATGATGAATTACAGCAAACATGTGCAATATATCCATTATTACAGCTCCGTGGGCTGGCAGTAAGGCGATATGGGTCCGTTCTTATTGTGCATCCATGGGTAAAGATAAACGCATGTAGTGCTGAACACGTAACATGAACGTGCCGGGCGGCGCGGTCCCGTGGGTTAGATGCGCGTTCATAATGCAGAGGGAAATAACTCTCAGAATAACGTTATTAGCACATTTTACAACTTGAGGAACGAATGTTTTTAATAAGGGCTATACAAGTGTTCATACTGGGTAGTTTATTTAGTTTAAAAAAAATTATCCAACGATTTACAGACCACTCTTTCCCCATGTAAGTCAATGGGAAAAAGTGTTTCCGGGCCTGGCAACCAAAAGGAAGTGTAGTACCGCCGTTTGGCCAGCACGAATATTTTCATCAGAGTCCGGCGCACTTCCTGGGGGCTTGGTGTGTATGAGCACAACCACGGCGGAATATTACTGCCAAAAGTCACGTGACTCAGTCACGTGACTTTTGGCAGTAATATTCCAGTCACGTGACTTTTGGCAGTAATATTCCGCCGTGAGAAGAAAAAGTTTTGTACTTGTAAAAAAAAGTTTTGTAGTTGTAAAACAAAGTGTTGTAGTTGTAAAACAAATTTGTGCACTTGTAAAAAAAAGTTGTGTACTTGTAAAACCTAAGCTGAATTTGTCTCTGAAACATGATTTATTAGAAAAATGTTATGTGTTTGTTTGATAGATACGTTTTTTCTTTGCAAAACTAAATTCATTAGTTTGTAGATGGTGTTTTGTATTTGCAAACCACATTGTGTTTGTTAGTGAATCATAAGGCATTTGTAAAACCTGTTTAGTTTGTTTGTGGAGTTATGGCAGGAAATTAGCTCCATACTGCTGGCCCCGCCCCCTTTTGAGCACGGCAAGGCAAGCAGTGAGGTCTCCTCTCTGCCTGCAGATAGTCAGCTAAATGCTGCCGTGATTAAACGCCATGTTCCAAACCACTTCAAGGATTATTTCTGAAACAGTATGGAGCTCAAATGCTTTTTTCTTAAGGGTTTACCACAAGGTGAGTTCCTTTTTTTATTTCCTGCATTTTTGCACATTCTCTCCAGTACAGCTTAGCTCTGAGTGTTAGCGATGCTTGCTAATGTAAACAAAGACCATGGGTGTTTCTCAATCGCGAGTACGCTTGCTTGGTAGCACATGTCTGCCGAGCATCTTGCTTCAGAAGCGAGGCAAGAATACTTCCTGGCATTCGGAAAACGAAGAGTGGAACAGGCTAGCAAGTGTGCAGGTGTGCGTCATATGAGAGGCCCCGCCTTACATCTTCCGCCACAGATTTGGGGAAATTGGTGCGTGCGCAAAGTGTTGTGGGGATTTTAAGACCGCGGAGTCTACACATGTGCAGCCTCGAAATTTCTCCGAACGAAGTACGCCGGGCTCGGTAGAATTCCAAGTATGCTGGACATTGGAACAGTACTTCGGCGGCACTCGATGACGTAGTATGCTTGAAATAGTGGCTCTGGAGCAGCCTACTCGCGATTGAGCAACACCCCATATGTCCAAAACACGTCGGCATTGTTTCTGATAGCGACGTTTCTGATAGGGCCGTGGGTGTAAAGCCAGCCCACATTTCCGATATTACGTCATATCGGCAGCAAATCTGGATCAGCTCCGTTGTACCCCCGTTTTTAGAGATGTGGGTACGGAGGAAAAGAGAGAGGGTTTAATTTTCTGACACTTTGTGAGTTTCCTTACACACCGGGGACACATTTATGTATAAAATACATCAAAAAGTGCATTTTGCATGATAGGACACCTTTAATGTATTGGTACCTTTACTCAAGTAAAGCATCTGAATACTTTTTCCACCACTGGCCTTTATTTATACATTTGTTTATTTGGGACAGCGCCCACGGGAACACCATGGCACTGTGTTGCTTGAGAAGTGATGATATTCTGCTAGATTACTTAGGGCCTCAAGTGTCCACACCACACATCCAATAAACAGCCCTGTGATGAGCCTGCGTATGCGCTGCTGCTCCTTTTATGGTCTCACACACTGTTTCCTGGGAGATCCGGTGTGCCGTGTGTGTGTGTGTGTGTGTGTGTGTGTGTGTGTGTGTGTGTGTGTGTGTGTGTGTGTGTGTGTGTGTGTGTGTGTGCGTGTGTGCGTGTGTGCGCGCGTGTGCGTGTGTGTTCGTGTTCGGGGGTGAGCAGAGAGAGCAGAGGGAGCACACTACACTCTCCCTCCAGCCTCCAGCAGCGCGTCTCCACAGCCGGTGAAATGAAGATGCTCTGAACATCTTCCTTCGCCTCTCCTCGGATCCGCGAGCAGGTTTCTCTTTCTCCCCCGGTGTCCGCTCAGTCTGCGGAATGCTCCGCGTTTTCTCTCCGGGGTCGTTTCCACTTCAGCATGGGAACTTCGGTGTCCAAAAGGAAGAATCTGAGGAGTGATGCGATATCTTCCGTGGCCACAAAAGTTAGGTGAGTGAGTCCGGGGAGGGGGACGTGGTGGCGGAGAGGCAGCGCGCTGCAGCCGCGCGGAGTCAGAGAACCACCGTGCTCCATCTGGAGGATACTCCTATGGTGTTAGACACATTACAGAAGGATGTAGCCTACCAGAAATAAACAGACTGCTGAATATTAATAATAATAATAATAATAATACAAATAATGAAAGTGCATCTATATTTTATTCCTGCATTGAGTAAAAAATACTTATTCTGTGGTGTTTTTTCAAATGTACTCTTGCTCTCGTTTCTTTTCCAAAAAGCATGTTTTACATAAAGTTTAGCTAAATATTAATATAATCTGAATATTAAAGGTGGGGTAGGTAAGTTTGAGAAACCGGCTCGAGATACACTTTTTGTTATATTCCATGGAATGCTCTTAACATCCCGATAGCAATGAATATCTTAAGTGCTTTGATAAAAAATCCATAAAAAAAATGTCATCTGTGGAAGCCGTGGTACTGTAAAAAGCACGACCAATCATTTTAGCCGGCCCGGCTAAAATAACTGGATGGCCTACCTGCCTGTCAGCTTTCCATCTGTGCACAAACTTATCTCGTGCCCTCATTGGTCATGTGCGCGTTCGTGTGTGTTGGAGGAGGGGCTCTATAAGGAAGTGGCAGATTTTCTCCGGTTGTGTATTTTCAAATTCTAGCGATCTCGAGCCGGTTTCTCAAACTTACTTACCCCACCTTTAAGCGATTTTACACATATCTCATTCATCTCAAGCAAACCCTTTTTTTATTTAGTCCAGACATGTGTTGCCATTATGAAGGATTACGAAGTTAAAGTGGACCTATCATGCTATATTTGAATAATATAGTGTAGGACCATACCTATATAAGGCATATTTATACTTTTTTTTTTCCAAAATACCAAACAGATCATGCATTTTAGCCATGCCTCATTTTGCTCAATTTGACAATTTCTAGCTCTGTTTTTGCAAGGGCTGATTATGTGAGAACAGCACCATCTACAGGCCTGGCATATGTACTACAGCGTCTCCAGCGCTTTCGAACGGCAATGGCCGTGGCTGTCTCCTCCTGATTGGTGGAGTTGGCCCAATAGCCGTAGCGCCACTGTCCTGACGTCAGGACAGTGTTCAAATCTGGATCAGTTTTTATCAGATCCGTTGCAGCCCCTTTTTTAGAGATTTGGGTATGGAGGAAAATAGAGAGGGTTGTGTTTTCTGACACTTGGTGAGTTCCCTGGAACACCGGGGACACATATTCATGTATAAAAGACGTACAAAAGTACATTTTGCATGATAGGTCCCCTTTAAGTAACATATTTTAGAGTACAATAAATATGAAATTCAAAATGATATGTCATTTCTAAATCAGGAAAAGATCTGTTGGATCAAATAGATCAACTTAATGTTAAGTTATTGAAATACATGTCAGAGAAAAATAACCCCTATTGTAATGATCAAGTCAACAAACACCTTAGGCAGGTGATACCCAAAATATAAATATATGGATATGTGTGTACTTTTGCTGGCTGGCTTTTAACTTAATAACTACAATTAATTTCTTTACCAGAATAAGAAGTAGGGGGGGGGGGGGGGGGGGTGTTACACAAACAGCCCTCACCACCACCACTTTAACCCACCACTGCAGCCTGAGCATGTATTTCCTTGCTCTCCTTATACCAACTCCCAGCTGAGCTCTGTGGTGGACTTTGACTAATTCTCGTGACATTTAGCCCTGCATGTATGAGTCATGAAAGGTCTTGGTGTCAGAGATGTCAGATCAGTGTGTTCTCGGTCCGAAGGCTGCGGGATGACTAATGCTCTGCAGTCTGCGCCCACCTGCTGACCTCAGGAGCCTTCTGCTCCCAGTCATGTGCACACACCTACGTGCTGAGCATAAGCCACTCTGCAGTGCAACAAACACACATATGCTGAAAAGGTGGAAGAAGTATTATTGAAAAAGTAGAAATACTACAGTGTAAAAATACTCAGTTACAAGTAAAAGTCCGGCATTCAAAGTTGTACATCATGCATAAAAGTAAAAAAGTATTAGCATCAACATATACTTGAAGTACCAAAGGTAAAAGTACTCGTTATGAAGAAAGGAACATTTTAACCAGTTAAACCCCAAGTCTGTTTTTCAGGTCTCAGGCTCGAAAATGACATTCCCAGAACAAATTACTATTATCTTTACTTCTAAAAGGGGTAAATGAATGATCTTTGTTCTCAAAGCTATGATAAACCTGTGAGTTGGATGTAGAAAAGTCAGAATCAATATAGAATTTTTTTATTTTAAAGTAAATTCAGATTGAACATAGTAAAAAAACTTCAATTATAGTGTCCGTCCAAAAAAAAAGCTTTAGGAATCCAAACTATAACATATAATAAGTACCCTGTATCAAGATTGATGCAAAACAAGTGACTCGGTTGATTTTGATGATTGACACCTCTTTTGAACCGTTAGAGCCAATAGAATCGAGGGGAAGTTCCTAAAATCCATCTAAACATTCCCATTGGTGAATGCATGCCAGCGCGCCCAAAACCGTAAGCTGGGTTGTAGCTCTCACACACTATGAAATCTCAGTTTTTGACAAAAATGGAATGATGGGTTATCAGTAATCATTTAAAAGTGACACAGACACATTGGATTAACCTTCAGCAGCGTTTTTATCATTTTAATCCCATTGAACACAATTTTTGATCAGAAAAAAGGTAAGACATATTTGCCGTTTTGGCCCCGTAAAGCTACGTTGTGTGCTCTCTGGGTTTGCCTTCGCTGCCCTGAGTTTTGGTTGCACAGTGATGATACTCATACCTCTAGAATCTGTGGAATCTCAGCTTTAATCTGATATCTTGTCTTGTTTGTGCAGATCCGATAAGTAATACAATATTTCTACCGTGAGTTCTGTGCTAAGTGCGTTAGCATTTTTTCGCTCAGTGCTAATTCAGAGGCTTGGTATTACCATTGTGTTTTGTTTAGCTAAAAATTGTTAATATTGTGTGATAGCTGAGTTTATTCCCGTTAAGTGGGTATGACACATTCATAGTTTGTTAAATGTTAAGAAGCCCTCAGATGCTGTTTCTTGCAAGATGTTGCGTTTTGCCCCCGGTACCATCATATATTTTTTTATGATTTTATATAATCGGTATGCTCTTTCCTCCTGTGTCCTCGTCCTTTCCGGTCACCTATGACCCCTTTTATACACCCAGTGCAGCTAACCCCCGCCACCAAGTGTCCAAAAATGATATTGCAGTATACATATTAATAAAGTAAACTGAGACACCAACAACAACCATAAAATGGCTCCTACACACGGCCCCTAATTGGCTTTAGTGTGAAACAAAAACAATTACCAATAAATAATAAAGGAGCTATGAAAACAAAAAAATTGTGTGTTCTATGTGTTGTTATTTAATTATTAATAATGTTTCTGTTTATTTTCTTCTCCCTTCTTTCAAGGGTCACCAGTCTTTGCTGTACTTATGTCTCAGCCTCTTGGAGTAGACATATCCAAGTTTGCAGTTCTTAGGTTGAAACAGTCGTGTTGCCATCCCGTCCAGCGCTGAGAGAACCTGTTGGTTATATTTTCACCCAATTCCAAGCCTTTCCTTATAAGGCTCCTGCATTGATGAGTCAGTCACTTCTTCAGGTCTGTCACATGGATTCAGCCTGTGCCCTGGTACCATAACAGCAACATCGCAGATGAGCTGCTCTGTAACGTGTTTGCTGTTGGGCAAACTGGGATTTTCTTGTCTGAATGGTAAGTCTAGGCAGTAGTGTCCATCTGACATTTTTGCAGAGTGATTCATAATGTTCAAGAATGGTTTATCTTCTCTGGGCATTTCCTCTGTTTCCTTGCTGTTTTTTTTACTCGGGTTGTTATTGTGTTGGTTGACCTGTAGATCCTCTTTGTTGACAATGGATACTGGATTTACAGCAGCAGCAGCAGGGCAGCCATTCTTATCCCTGATTATGTTGTTTCTTCTCAGTGGACCATCGATGACCCACCCCAGTAGGGTCCTTACAGCGTATGGCTGTTGACTAGCTCCCAAGGTTCCAGTACCTTGGATGCATTTGTCCCAATGAGTAGGCTAATGCCAGAGTCAATTGATTGAATATTGATGTCTTTCAAGTAAAGCCTTTGTGTTAGGTCCTCTTGAACAGGAATGGTGTGCTCGGAAACAGGCATGGTCTTGTGTGTGAACACATCAGGTTGTTGGTTGAAATGGTCTTTGTCAAGAGTAGATACTTACAAACTTCAAATGTGATGACTGGTTGCCAGCTTCACTTGGTTTATTGTCCTCAAAGGAATATTTGTCTTCTGTCCTGGAATAGAGGTTTGGGTTTGATGAGGTAAGTATTCAGTTGAATGTGGATTGAATCTTGGTGTTGCTTTTCTGAAGTAAGAGTTCATCCCATCTGATACTCTGGAGGTGTTTCTTGATCCCATCCTGAGCACTTTTATCCTGGCATTGGTTGCTGCCAGTTCAGTTTGTAATTCCAATTGTTTCTTCTTTCGTTTTAACTGTTCCACTCGGGCATCAAGTTCCTGTTGCATATTCAGTGCTGCAGCCCTTTCGATTAAAGCAGCCCTTTCTGCCTGAGCTTTAATTCGAGCAGAGGATATAGATGATGCATGTGATGAATATCTAGTTTTGTGTTTTGACTGAGGTTTTGAAACACTGTTATCAGGTCCGATGTTATCCAAGTTAACACTTTGTTTTATGGCACTTCCCATAATAGAGTTTGTGTTTGACTGTCCACCTTCAGATAACCACACATTTACATCTTGTATGTCAAATATTTCCATCTTTTGTTGCAGCCACTGCTTTTGCTTTTCCATTTCTTCTTCAGGCAGTGGAAGGTTCACCAAAGACTCATGATTTTTCCTTTAATTCATCACAGAACTTAATCAATACAACCAGTTTTAACTGTATTTCTTTTGCATTGTCCTTTGAATTCATAAGCTCTTTCAGTCTTTCCATTACAGCTTAATGTATCC